CACGTGCATGGCTGTACACACAAAACTGTCTCTAGTGTCCCTGGGACACTGACACCTACCTCAGCTTTTTTAAATGTGCAGAGGATTGCCATTTATTATTCATGGGTTAACTCTGGAGAAATAATGGAAGAGGCAAATAGGAAAGAGAAGAACAAAAGGGACCCCTACTTTGTTGAAAATATTCCATTTATCTTCAAAAAGTACAGAGAAATAAGCTAAAAAGATCATGACTGTAACAATTATGTATGTACTAGGCATTCATCAAAGTATTTAAGAGATTCAAAAAAAAGATTCAAAATGGGACTATCCTATATGTTCAATAACAACTGGTTATGTAAAAAATGTAAATCCATGTAATGTAATATTATGTTGCTAATACACATAATATTAATTGTTGACTAGGATTCTGCTAACTGAAAAAAAGGAATCTGTGATAGACTATGCATATTAGAATTTGTGTATGCATGCATGTGTGTGCATGCTTGTGTGATTGGGTGCGTGTTTAATACTGAAGTATTAAAAGAGGTGAAATACAGGACAAAGTGAGATTCTAGTAAGAATCTTTTCTAGTAAGATTTTTGCTCTAGTATGTATTTCTTCTATAATTAGAAAATCAATATTTTTAGTTTTAAGAGCTGCTTTATATATATAAGGCATCTGGCTGGCTCAGTCAGTGTTAGAGCATGTGATTATTGATCTTGGGGTCATGAGTTCAAGCCCCCTGTTGGGTGCAGAGCTTACTTTTTTAAAAAGTGTAAAAAAAAAGGTGCTTTATATGTCAGGAAGTGAAAAGTGGACAATTCATACAAATGATGGAGACACCTCAATCCTTATAAGACAAGTAGGCATCTGGTGGGGTACCTAAGTGGATCTGTCACTTAAGCATCTGCTTTTGGCTCAGGTCATGAGATCCCAGGGTCCTGGGATCGATTCCCACATTGGGCTCCCCACTTGGTGGGGAGCCTGCTTCTCCCTCTTCCTCTGCTGTTCCCCCTGCTTGTGCTCTCTCGCTCTGTCAAATAAGTAAATATAAAATATTTTTAAAAACAAAACAACAACCAACTAGGTATCCGTTGATGGAAAATGAGAGACCTGAGAAATATGGGAATATTGCCCAATTCCAGAACATAGCACCTATAAGGAGAACCTCTCTTTTCAGGAACAGGCACAATGTGGCTTTAGATTTCTGCTGCCTGTACAGCTAAGATTCATTATTTCCACTTTGACAGTCTGAACGAACATTGCCCCTGCAATTAATTAACCAATCTGCTAGTAGTCGTTGACAACAAATTAGAACTGAACTGCTAAGATGGCCTACAAAACAAGGGGAAGAGGAAAACCTCGGCCCTGTAAGCGATCATTTGACACACTGAAAATCACTACACTTGTGACTGTTTTCCTTTGAAAGTCGGCATCAAAATATTTCACTCCTGTCCCCAACCACTGTGACCAGGAGAGAGGTCCTTCACCATCTCTGGAGCTTCTTTTTATACAAACCTAGGATAGGAAGCCTCACATGCAATGTATTGTGCTTAAATATTAAGTGGTAAACCCGGAAAGAATTTTTATCATTATTAAAATCCAAGGTGTCGGGATCCCTGGGTGGCGCAGCGGTTTTGCGCCTGCCTTTGGCCCAGGGCGCGATCCTGGAGACGTGGGATCGAATCCCACGTCGGGCTCCCGGTGCATGGAGCCTGCTTCTCTCTCTGCCTGTGTCTCTGCCTCTCTCTCTCTCTCTCTCTCTCTCTCTCTCTCTCTCTCTGACTATCATAAATAAATTTAAAAAAAAATCCAAGGTGTCAAAAAAAAAAATCCAAGGTGTCCTTGTAGAGGTAGTAAAAAAGGAGTAGATGGAAACTTTTGAACCAATTAAAATTTCCTGTAACATCAAACTCAACTGTAATTAGCAAGTAGATCAGCAGAAACAAAGTTATAACATTGATTACGGATTCATTAAAGAGAAAAATATGAGCCAGTCTTATAATTGGGCTTCATGTAATAAAACAAAATGTTTTCTGTAAGCAACACATTCAATCATCTGGCTTTTAAAACTGTATGATTTTTAAAAATATATTATTTATTTGACAGCACAAGCAGGGTGAGCAGCAAGCAGAAGGAGAGGCAGAAGCAGGCTCTCTGCCAAACAGGGAGCCCCATGTGAAGCTCGATCCCAGGACCCCATGATCATGACCTTTGTTGAAGCCAGATGCCCAACCAAGTGAGCCACCCAGGCACCCTAAAATTAGATTATTTTTAAAGATTTATTTTTTTGAGAGAGAGAGCATGGGCAAGCACAAGTAGGGGGAGGAACAAAGGGAAAGAATCTTTAAGCAGACTCCCTACTGACTGTGGAGCCCGTCATGGAGCTCATTTTCACAACCCTTGAGATCATGACCTGAGCCAAAATCAAGTCAGACAATCAATTGAGCCACACAGGTGTCCCTAAAATTATATGATTTTTAGATTAAAGCAAGTTACATAACTTCTGGACAGCCATGAAGTAAGATACGAGTACTGATCTACTTGCAGGGAGATTAAGAGACCACATTTCATACTTTGGGAATCATTAATTCAAGATATTTTAGGATCAGAATATCTGACTCATTTTCAGACAAGGAAGAGGTGGCAACAGTGAAGGGTTTTGGACAATTGGTGAACAGAGTGTGGGATTGGGTTCCTGGCACTTGGGACAAAATGAGAAAAATAGTAAGAGGGAAATGAAGAAGGAACTTTATATTTTCTCAGCCTATGCCACTGATGCTTATAGATCTCATTTCTCTATAATTTTATATATTGTATGTGTATAATTTTGTATAAAATATATATTACTAAATAGTATACTTTTGATTATAATTTTTAATTTATGCAAATCATACCACAGTATACCTATTTTCATAACTTGTATTTTGGAAGGTTTTGCTTTGTTTTGTTCTGTTGTCAATGATCATTATATTTAATATCTGGTAAAACAAAATCTTCCCCCTTACTCTTCAAAACTTAGTTATCCTTTGTTCTTTGCTCTCCTATATAAACTGTAGCATATTTCTCAGGTCCCATACACAATCTCCTTTGCCATTTTCATTGGAATTGCTTTTAATTTATAAATTCATTTAGCAAAAGTTGAAATCTTGATGGTACTGATACTCCCACCCATGAGTAGAGAATATCCTTCAGTCATTTGATCATCTTCTGTGCCTCTAGTAGATATCCACTATTTTAGGCTGCCCAAAATATTCTGAAAATCCTTTCTCCATTTTAGGACTTCTCCATCATATAAATCTCACTTTCCCAGGTAGAATCCAAAAAGTATTTCCCAGAAGCCCTTGCTACATATATGTACACATATAACCAACTTAAGTGGCAGGTACACCCTTGCAGAAGGTAGAAGATCATAGTGCCCTACGATCTTCTGCAGATACTTGCTTTTTCTCCAGGATATGTAGAAACCCCCTGGTGGTAGGGGACAGTCCAGTAGCAGACACCCGCAGCTGCTGGGTTTCCACTAGGACCATTTGGTACTGTCACTGCTGGTTCTTTTTCTTGGCTTCTGCCTATGTGACATTCTACCCTGGTTCCCTCTAGGAATATGTAACAAATCTGTTTCCACTTCAGCTAGTTAAGGTGGATCTGCAGCCAGCAACTGAACACTGGCTGATACAGAACTGGGAGCCAGAAGTGGGTTGCTGTGTGGATGGACAGTAGAGGTGGAAGTGCGTTAGTGGAAGTAAGTGAGAGCAGGGTGATGGAGAACCAGATATTGCAAGCTGGAAGGTAGATGGGCAAGACAGGGTGGCCACAGCAAATTTGGGTCCGACTTGGCTCCACATGTCTTCTCCACGTGTCACCCAGGCTCTCAGGAGCCCAATGCTCTCTGGGCAGAGCTCAGAAATGATCATCAGCTGAGCCCAAGGACTGAGACGACCAAATTAAAGAGAAGCTACAGAATAGTGGTCTAGGGGAATGGGGGAGTCGCGTGAACCCCTGAAATGTAATGTAACTGTCAGGAAGCATTAAAGGAGGGCCTACTTGCAGTTACTGGTCATGACCCTAAGGTGAAACAATTGAGCACAGTAGTGTTTTTTTTTTCCTGGTCACTTTCGGTAGCGCAGGTGCAGGCACAGAGAAGTCAAGGAACAAGTTTAGGTAGAGGTGGGGTTCTCCCAAATAAACATGACAATGCAAGACAACAAGGGAGTTAAGGGAGACAGAATAGTTGAGCATGGGAATCCATGCTGGATGAAGGAGAAAGACAGACACAAAGGAAATGAAGGGCAGTGGAAAAGACAGAATGGTGGGAGCTGAAGTTAGTTAGCATCAAGATTCTAAAGGGAATGAAAATAAGTAAGAAGGCAGGATATTTAAAGTGCTGAGGTTGGGGCACCCTGGGTGGCTCAGTCAGTTAAGCATCTGACTCTTGATTTCATCTCAGGTCTCGGGTCATGATCTCAAGGTGTGAGATCGTGCCCCAGGTTGGTCTCCACTTTCTCCCTCTCCCTCTGCCCCTCCCCAGCTTATTCTCTCTTTCTCTCTCTCTTTCTCTCAAATAAGCCTTAAATAAATAAAGTGCTGAGGCCACAGAAGTGAGATATTGTGTTTGGTAGCAATAAGGTCTAGGATCCAACCAGAGGAGTGGCTGAGGTAAAATGGAGGACCACAAAGGAAATGAGAGGGTGAGACATTGGAGGGATCAGCTGTTGAAATCACCTAGAATTAGGACAAGAATAATGTTGAAGAGGGGCACCTGGGTGGCTCAGTGGTTGAATGTCTGCTTTCGGCTCAGGTCATGATCGGGGTTCTGGGATAAAGTCCTGCATCAAGCTCCCCATAGGGAGCCTACTTCTCCCTCTGCCTGTGTCTCTGCCTCTCTCTGTGTGTTTCTGATAAATAAACAATTAAATCCTTCAAAAACAATTTTTTAATTAAAAAAAGAATAATGGTGAAGACAGTGACAGCTGGCCAGGAGCTAAAAGCCTCCAGAAATAAAGGCATGCAACCCAGAAGTCCAGCAGTAGAGCCCAATGACATGAGATTCAAAGGTTTTTAGCAAAGGGGAGGGGCGCAGAATGGTCTGGAACTGGCAAAGAGAAACAGAGGATCCAAGATACCTGGTACCAGCACTGTGTAAAAAAGGGGACTGCCCTGTCAGGGGGTGCTGGGCAGCAGCATCTTCAAGGGACAGGCAGGTTCCGATGAGAGGACAAAGGAAAAGGCAGTGTGCAGGTGGCTTTAGCATACAGGGGACTACCACAGCACTGGCCATTTCAGAGAGCAGAACAAGGAAAAGTTTCCAGGAGCTGAGGAGGTAACAGTTGAAGACAAAAGGGGGAATGCAGAGATGCTGAGGATTAAATGTGCAGGAGACGGGGGTTATTCCGGGAGGTCGGGGCTCCTTGTGGGACCTAGATAAACGTGCGGTGTATGCAAAGACTACCCCTGAGGCTCAGGACTAGAAGGCCAGGAAGACCGAGGTGGGAGCATGGTAGATGGGGGTGTGGGGCTGGAGTCCCTCTTCACTCCTGCCAGGAGAGGCATGGAGACCTCAAGTGAGGTATCTTAACTCCAAGCACTTGAGGCTCCTTAGCACGTGCTGCTGAAGGCACAGAACCCTAAGCTTGGATTCTAGAAAAATCTCCCAGAAGCTTTTAGGATTTGCTTCCAGATTCCCCTAACGCCTGTTAGGTCACCTGCACTCCCCCTCTTTTTGCTAGGGAATCTGGGTGATTCCCTTGACTTTATTTTCAAGTGCTTATTCTAAGTCTCATTTCTGATTTCAACTTTTAGTTTTCAAGAGGTCTCTGAATTTTCCTCTTTAAGGGCAGCCTTTTGCTTCATAGATGCGAACCTCTTCTCTAACCTTAGCGTAAATTTTCTTCTTCTCGCCATAGTCTACTTCAAGTGGGCTTTCTTTATCCTCGCTCCAGCCTCTTTCCTATCCTTGGCTATTAGATTATATCTAAGAATGGAACACTAAAAGGCTGGCTAGGGGAGGGGCACCTGGGTAACTCAGTCAAGCATTGTGATGCCAGCTCACCAGTTTGGGTCGTGGGGTCAAGCATTGTGTTGGGCTCCAGCACTCTGCTGGAATCTGCTTGGGATTCTCTCTCCCTTTGCTTCTGCCCTCCCCCAACCCCAGAAGTTCATGCTCTTAGAATAAGATTTTTTTTTAAGATTTTATTTATTTATTCATGAGAGACACAAGCAGAGGGAGAAGCAGGCTCCCTACAGGGAGCCCAATGTGGGACTCAATCCCAGGATCACCACCTGAGCCAAAAGCAGACACCCAACCACTGAGCCATTCAGGTGCCGCAAATAAATAAGATCTTTAAAAATAAATAAATAAGAGGCTAAAGGAGTGGGGGGAGCCAGGCTAAGAAGCATTATGTGCACAGTTGGAACATCTCTGGAGAGCCATTTCATTGAGGAATCCAAGATGTATCATTTTTCTCTTGATTCATCTCTCAAAGTTCTTCTGATTTCTAGCTGAGAAGGTACCCAAGTCTAGTTGGCAGCATTCTGGATAGAAGCAGAGGGAGAGGGACAAGGACCTGACATTCAGCATGGTACCCCTGACCTCTAAAACGCCTGTTTTATTGCTCCAGTGACCAGAGAGATAGGGGAGGTGACCGAATCTAAGTACTTGGTAAAGACTTAGTAAATTCTCCTGTTCCTACCCCCACCGGCATCCTCTATTCCCACAGAAACCCGAATTTTCAACTCCTAAGTCTCCTAAGTGGGAAATCTGCCACATAAGATGGCTGCTCAGCTTCCTCGGGTTGGCTGTTCAAAGTTACAACTCTTCATCACCTTCCAGTTTCCAAGCTATTCACATCGTATTTTTTTTATTAAAGATTTTATTTCTTTATTCATGAGAGACACAGAGAGGCAGAGACACAGGTAGAGGGAAAAGCAGGCTCCATGCAGTGAAGGGAGCCTGATGCGGGACTTGATCCTGGGACTCCAGGATCACACACTGGGCTGAAGGCAGGTGCTAAACTGCTATCCGTCACGTCATATTTTCATCATCCTTGTAAGCTGGTCTTTAATCTTTTACTGTTTTAGTGGAGTTTCAGGAGGGCATGAATGCTAACATGTCCAACCACCATTTTCACCAAAAAGTCTGTTGTATATTTTATTTTTGCCAACTATGCTTTGGATTTTTTGGTCTGTTTTCTTGTCTTTAGTTTGTAGTGAATTTGTTTCCCACCACCAAACACCATCTCCAGCCTCCTGAACTACCAAGGTTTCAAACTCATCTTCTAAGGGATGCATCCAAGCTTGTAAATACTGCTCTGAGTACCACCTTTTGCTACATCCCAGACCCTGCTGCATCCTTTTCTTACTGTTCAGTTCCTGATCATCCATTACAGCCAATTTGTGCTCTCTTTAACCCAAGAGCTCCTTGGAGGGGAATTAACTTTCTAGTAAGAAAATATTTCTTCATTACTTCAGTCAATAGGCAAATAGCAAAAGGTAGCCTGTTTTCAACCCCCATAAGCCTCTGGCAGTGGAGAACTCTAGAACACCTCATAGCCACCTCAGACCTCTTTGCCCCTTTCTTTCTTTCCTATTAGCCATGTTTCAATTGCTTTTCTCTCTGCTTCTAAACCACACTGCTTTTAGAGATCTCTCTCATGAAGATCCACTGTACAGTAAGGTGTTCCCTCCCAAACCCTGTATAAATACATGCCTCCAACAGCCCATAGCCACTTTGTGCTCAGAGTTTCTTTCAATGTTATGTCTAGGTATGACCATAGATACCCAAAATCAGAAGTTCTGGGAGTTCGGCCAGAAAATTACTCTTTTCAGACCAGGTTATTCAGATGCATGGTAAAGTGTAAGAACCACTAATTTAAAGGTTTTTCTGTTAATTGCTGTGGAGAAATATCTAGGTAGCAAAAGCAACTTAAAAGAATAAAATGTATGGCCCAATGTTTAAGGAGTCACTTTATACCAATGCTGATAATGCAGAACTCAGATTCTTTTTTCAGAAATCACTTCAGAGCACCTGGGTGGCTCCTCTGTTAAGCATCTGCCTTTGGCTCAGTTCATCATTCCAGGGTCCTGGGATCAAGCTCTGTGTCAGGCTCCCTGTTCAGCAGCAAGTCTGCGTCTTTCTCTCCTTCTACCCCGCTTCCCCCATTCATTCTCTCTCTCTCTCATGCTCTAATAGATTTTTTTTAATTAAAAAAAGAAAAGGAATTGCTCACATAGTCCTTTGCATAGTTGTAAAAGATTCCCATCAAGGTAAAAAATAAGAGCAATCCAAAATTCTGCTTCCCAGACCTATCACAGGTTAGCTGCCATTTAGCTGTGTGGAGACACAGCTCCCTCTATTCCTAAAAAATAATTTAGAAACTTATTCAAATTTCCCCCAAGTTGGCTTTACACTGATGCTATTTCTTTCCTAATTCGCCATATTCTTATTTACAATCCATACTATCCGGAGAACGTAAAATGTTGAAGCCAATGCTTGCAAACAGAAAACCAGAATGCCCACTGAGAAAAATGTACACAGCACAGGGAACAAAGATGAATACTTTGGTGTATATTTACTTATGAAATCAAAGATAAAAAAAATCTAGATATCAAGAGCAAAACTAAAGAAAAAAACACATTGTTCAAAGACATAACTGCTATCAATTGCATAAATAATTATCACTGCATATAGTTGTTCACTGGTTATTTCTCATGCTCTTTTGCATACACAGCAGGAGATCCTCAATGATCCATACCAAGGGCAACATGACTTCAACTGCATTGACGTCACCTTAGCCCACTGAACAATCCAAATTTCTGAGTCTGCTGCTGAAAGCGGTTGCTGGTGCTCTCCTTCCACACCCCACCCTGCCATCCCCTCCAGTTCCTGCACAGCTCTCCTGCTTCCCCCAAGCCGCTTGGCTCTAACCACAAAGGCCCCGTGCAAGGATGGGCTCTCCCGCAGACACTCTAATGCAACCAAGTGTCCTGCCAGCACTTCCAACACCCACATCCTCACAGGGCAGATACAGCCATTACTGTTCAAGCCTGAAAGAGACTGGTGCAAAGGTCAGATAGTTGCACTTTCTACCCAGACGGAAATACAACAACACGGTCTTTCAATATATATAGATTATAATGGAGCTTATGCTGAAACAATTGTGAGGAGTGTAAGGTAAAGACAAAATATACAAATGAAACTCAAGTGAAGCTGACAGTCGGCTGGGCCTAAGAGCTGGAGGAGTGCTGAGATAAAGCTCATGAGGGGTGAGGGGATGGGGCTAGAATAACTGGGGAAGGCTTCACAGTGGGAGGAAGGCCCTGGAAGACGTGCACTATTTGGACAGGTGAAGAAGGCATTCCAGATGCGGGCAGTATCATGAACAAAGGTCCAGAGGTAGGAATAAGTACAGCATGTGGAAAGGTCAGTGAAGGCACGGCCACGGTGGGAGCAGAGCACGGGCCCTGGATAGGAGCAGCAGAGAAGGCTGAAGAGGGGCATGGGGGACCCATCAGCGATGGCCCAAGAACCTTGACAGGCTTCTTCTCCACGGGGTGCAGTTTCTGGTGCTGAACAAAACTGCCGTACCATTTGAATGCTTTCCCACACACCTTGCACTCATAGGGCTTCTCTCCAGTGTGGACTCTCTGATGCTGGATGGAAGCTATCTTCTGAGTAAATGCCTTGCCACACTCCTTACACTGGTATGGCTTCTCCCCTGTGTGAATCCTCTGATGGACGATAAAAAGCGACCTACACCCAAAAGCTTTCCAACACTCCTTGCATTTATAGAGTTTCTCTCCAGTGTGCAATCTCTGATGCTGAAGATAAGCCGCGCTTCTACGGAAGGCCTTTCCACACTCCTTACATTCATACGGCTTCTCTCCAGTGTGGATCCTCTGATGCTGAGTCAAGGCTGTGTTGGAACTCAAACCTTTGCCGCACTCCTTACATTCATAGGGCCCTTCCCCGATGTGATTCTTCTCATGTACAATACAGTCATAGCTGGACTTAAAAGCTTTGCCACATTCCTTACACTTGAAGGGCTTTTCCCCAGTATGACTCATCTGGTGCCGAATAAGCTTTGAGTTATATCTGAAGATTTTCCCACATTCTTTACATTCATAGAACTTCATTCCACCCCGAAGTATCAGATTCGGATTCAGACTGAAAGTCTGCCATGTGGCCTTGCTTTTAAAGTCAAAGTGCTGGGAAACATTTCTGAGAAGTCCCCCTCCGAGCGTTCTGTGCAACTCTGCCTCTTCAGCTGCTTCCTGCTTTACAGCAGGCTCCTCTTTCTTGATCCAGGACTCACCACCTGCCCAAAGAAACCACAAGTTTTCCGAGTTACTGACCTGGAAGGGAAACAGGATCCTGGGCTCCCGTCTTCTCTCGTAGAATGTGATTTTGAAAAACATACTCACAAAGTGGCTACAACCATCCACACAGGAGGGTAAGAGAGAAAAAGGAAAACGATCATCTACAGGTGGAGGAGGAAGACACTAGAAACAGACCAGAAGCGCCTCTAACGAGGAAGGCTGGGAAGTGGACTAAGGCAGGTGAAAGGAGCACGATGACACCTTCCAGAATGGAAAAGAAAGAAGGCAGCAGGGGGAAAAAGAGAAAACAGAATGGAAGAGATAAGAGGAATCAGCAAAAAAGGCAAAATTTCCAAAAGAGAAAGAAAGGGAGATAAGAGAGAGAGAGACCCCAAAAAGGAAAGGAAATCCGTACTCCTGGGAAGAAGAGATGAATAGCTCTCACACTAGCAGGGGTCTAGCAGGCTGCAAACCAAACTCAAAAATACTGCATCTCAATGCCCCACCCCTGCCATAAACCAGGAAGCCATCCTAAATTCTAAATGGCCCAATGATTCTATTTTTAAATATTCCACATGGGGCACCTGGGTGGTATAGTCAGTTAAGTGTCTAACTCTTGATTTCCGTTCAGGTATAATCTCCAGGTTGTAGGATCAAGCCCCACATTGGGCTCTGCACTCTGCATGGAGTCGGCTTGAGGATTTTTTCTTTCTTTCTCTCTCTCTCTCCCCCACTCTTTCTCTCCCTCCCTCCCTACTCATTCTCTCTCTAAAATAAATAAATATTCCACATAATCTCCTAAGATAAAGATTCTTTCAGAAAGTCAGCTGGAACATAGTTGATTCAACTGGAGCATATTTCTGCTAAAAGAACCACTCTTTACAAAAATTTTCCTATATGGAAACTTTCTTCCCAAAGAAAGAAAACTGGAGTAATCAAGAGGCCCCAGGACTGGTGAGCAGTCTCAGGAAAATTTTAGGCTACTGGTGTTGGGTGTGTGCATATGTGTATTCATGTGTGCATGTGTGTGTTGGTATGTGTCTGTGTATGTTGGGTGCAGTGATGGGCAACAGTTCCTGCCTTTCCATCTGTATGTAAGACTACGACAAATATAATGTAAGACCTAAAGATTATGGCATATAGAACTTTTAGGTGACTCAAACACTAAAAAGGCAAATTAAAGGCATTCACTTCATTGCTAAAGGCCTAAAAACAAAACTCATAGCTGTGGCACAAATAAATCAGTTTGACCCATAGAATCATATTTTTCTCAAAGTATGGCTGAAACCTACTTTTTCAAATAAAATTGGCGTAAAACTAAGTATTTCCCCTGGTAAGTAAGAAAAGAGGTGGTTTAGGAGCTACTGGGTCACAGCTTTTCTGTGGGAGGTGAGTGGCCATGCACCCCTAGGGACTGGTCTTCCCCAGGCTCAGGGCTGGAACTGGGCAGAGGTCAAAGAGTGCGTTGAATGCCTTATAAACGACAGGGAGCCATGTTCTCTGCTGCAGAAGGAACATTTTTAATAACCTGGGAAGGCAAAACCAAAAACCGCTAGGTTCTCTTACTCACCTGGACTGATGCATCTCACAACCTCTGCTTCCCAGGGATCTGGGCCCCATGGTGCTTCCCCTCTCTCCAGCTGGGAGACCAGAACAGGTTTGGGGAATGGAAATGCTCCTCCAGCAAGAAAAAGGAAAAACAAGTTGAGGGAAGACTTCCAGAGCTTTCCTGAGATCCCTCTTGGCCCACCTCACAATAGGCTGGCAGGGGGAGGGAGGGAGGGAAGTGGACAAGGGGGAGAAGAAGGGGGATGGGATGAAATGCCCGGGAGACCAAGGGGTTCTGAGAAAGAGCTCCAAACTATGGTCCAAGGCAAGGCCAAGGAGATAGCCATTCTCCTCAGGAAGAAACTGCAATCTCGCCCTGACCTAAAGAGATGCCCTCAGGAAGAACACAGGTCCTGATATCCGGGGAGACTCCCGCACTGGGGGAGGACCAGTATCCCCACAACACTGGCAACATGGAAGAACCGAGGGCTCTCCTAGTGCACCAGGAAGAGTCCTCTCCCTCAGGGCCCAGAACCATGCCCTTCTCCGGAATGTGGGGAGAAACCTGATTTCAAAACCAGAGGGAACCAGGGATTTCCTCACCCAGCATCTCCAGAGGCTGGTGACTACAGAAATAACTTCTGAAGTCATCAAACCTAAGAACTTCTGGAAGCCCCAGAGCATCTGAGGAAGAGGTCAAACTATCACAAAGGACCAGAGATAGAGTCCTTACCCAAGGAAGCCACATTAGCATAATTCTCCAGCATCACCTCCTGGTACAAGGCCCTCTGCACATGGTCCAGGCTGGCCCACTGACTCTGGGTGAAGTACACGGCCACATCCTCAAAGGTCACTGGCTCCTGAAACAACAGGCTCCTGCTCAAGCCCCATGTGAGGGCAGGAGAGGCCTGAGTTGCAGGGTCAAGGTAGACCTGCCAGGGTCTCCAACTCTGAGCCTCCTGGAAGGTCGGCTCTAGTGAAAAGAGCACCCAGCAGCCCAAAGCGGCAAGCCCTCAACCAATGTTCCCGCTACCAAAGGGAGAACCCCAACACTCTTCCATCTGCATGGTTCTGAGGCCCCAAAGCTGTCATCCCAATCTCATAGCCTGGCAGCTGGGGCTCTCTCCCTGGTCACTGCATCAACCCCCATGTTCCTGACTCTGTCCCTATGGCATCTCCTACCCTCTTGTACTCCACAATCCTGTCCCTCTATTTTCTATACATCAGCCAATGGAGACTGCTGCCGACCACTGTCATTCACCCTGTCTCCACATGTCCAAAGTACACACACACATCCCTGCACCTAGCAACTCCTTGGTCTTCCCCAACATTTCCACTAGTGCAGAGGAGCTACTCCTTAAAGGTAGGAGCTACTCCAAATTTTTTCTACCTTCTTACTTTATCAGAAACCTCTCTTGAAGGAAACCTGCAGCTTGCCTGTTCTGGCTTCTTCTCTGAACCACTTATCTTCAAAGAAAGCTAGAAGTGCCCTGTCTCTGGACACAGATCCATCCCCCAGTCTTGAGCTCCACCCCACCTGCCAAGATGGGCCCCTCTCTGCCTCCCCCTGCAGCCTTCTGTGTCCCCAAGGGTGAAGGGAGTTAATACTTGTTAATTAAGCACTAGGCACCAGGCTCTTAGGTAAGTACTTTTAGGACAGGTATTTCATCTTTTTTTTTTTAATAAATTAATTTTTATTGGTGTTCAATTTACCAACATACAGAATAACACCCAGTGCTCATCCCGTCAAGTGTCCCCCTCCGTGCCCGTCACCCATTCACCCCCACCCCCCGCCCTCCTCCCCTTCCACCACCCCTAGTTCATTTCCCAGAGTTAGAAGTCTTTATGTTCTGTCTCCCTTTCTGATATCTCCCACACATTTCTTCTCCCTTCCCTTATATTCCCCTTCACTATTATTCATATTCCCCAAATGAATGAGAACATACACTGTTTGTCCTTCTCCGATTGACTTACTTCACTCAGCATAATACCCTCCAGTTCCATCCACGTTGAAGCAAATGGTGGGTATTTGTCGTTTCTAATGGCTGAGTAATATTCCATTGTATACATAAACCACATCTTCTTTATTTCATCTTTTTTATTAAAGACTGATGGATTGATTGATTGATGTGTGTGTGTGAGAGAGACAGAGACAGAGACAGAGACAGAGAGAAGAAAAGAGCACAAGCAGGAGGCACAGAGAGAGAGAGAGGGAGAGAATCTCAAATAGACTCCTGCTGAGCGCAGAGCCCAATGCAGGGCTCAATCCCAGGACCCTGAGATCATGACCTGAGCTGAAGTCAAGAGTTGGGACACGTAACTGACTGAGCCACCCAGGCACCCATGTATTTCCTTTCATCTTAAATGTATGAAGTAGTAATTATTAGTCCCATTTTCACATGATGAAACTAAGTAAGGTTCAGAAGGATTACTTTGCCCAGGACCACACAGAAAGAACTGGTTGAGCTGGGATTTCAGCCAGATCCATCAAACAGTAAACCTGGGCTCTTTCCACACACCAAGCTGCCTCCCATTACTGGGCTCACCCCTGATCCTCATCATGACCTGGTGTTGTCCCATCTTTGAAGAACAGTGTCTCAAATTCGTAACTCCCAACAGCACCTGTCAATCCATCTTTACCATGCTCCCTCCAAGCCACAGGGCTCCTTCCCCCAATGTGGACTAAAGGGTCAGCTATTTTAAAATGTCACATACCACCCTGGAAACCAGAGCCCCTGAATCTTCCATGGGAGTGTCCACTGACTACTTCCTCTGCTTCTACAGTCAGGATAGTATAGACCACAAAAACTAGATTCTCACATTGGAAGAAGTTTCATGACTTCTGTGCCTTCTCACCCTGATGCTCCCCCAGAATCCACATCCTAGGAGATATTCAGTACCTTATGCAGTCAGCTTTGTTCTTCTAGCAGCCAGAAATGAAAACACCTACCAAGAGGGGCTCAGCTAAGCCCCTAAATCTGTGTGCCACTGTCTCTCAGGGCAACAGCCTTGCAGTGGGGTCAGCACTGGGGCCAGGCAGAAGGGAAGGCTATTGTAACTGCTCTTGGAGGAAGCCAAGAAGAAATGTATCGCAAGGATAAACGATGGCAATCACACTGTTCATGGCTGCTCTACACTCAGATCCTTATGAGCGTCCCATTTTATTTATTTATTTTCTTTAGAGAGAGAGTGAGAGAGCAGCTAGGGGGGAAGGGGAGAGGGAGGAGAGAGAGAATCCTAAGCAGGCTCCACACTGAGTGTGGAGCCCAACGCTGGGCTCAATCTCATGACCCTGAGATCATGACCTGAGCCGAAACCAAGAGTCAGACACTTAACCAACTGAGCCACCCAGGCACCCCCTGAGGGTGTCCTTTTAAAACAACAGTTAGGGAACTCAGTTCAAAAGGAGACACTAAAAGAAAAAGTACAAATGTGGATACTCCTCAGAACAAGAGCTGACCTTTAAACTAGGCAATGACAAGGTACAAAGGGCCCCCAAAATAGTCTGACACAAAAATCCCAACACTAGACAGAACCATGATATCCTGGGAGTAGTTACTGATTCAACACGGTGGTAAGGTCTCTGAGGACACCAGCCACAGGATCATAGGAGAGCCAAAGTTCACCTCCATTTACAGCAAGTCAGACCTTACTTCCTAATGTCTCCTGGGCTACTCTCACAACCTCCTCCTCCTCCCAGCCTGCCACCACCAATCTCTTCCTCCCCCACTATCCTTCTTCCCCACCACCAAATATTCCCAGGGTTCCAGAGTCTGAAAAAAAAAATGCCTATAATTGAAGGAACACTTATTGCTTTTAGGTAGTCAGGTTGCAAAAATACTTTTTTTCCTCCTGTGGGTGGGTTCCCATGTTCCTCACCTTATTTTTCTTAGTCTTTCTGATCATTCAACAAATTAGACAGTTCATTATCCATCTCCCTCCAGCAGAACAAAGGTCCATGAGGCAAGGACTCTGCAAGGACTCTCATAACCGGTTCACTATAACACAGTGATCCAGTGCCTGGCAGATACTAGATGCTTAATATAAATCTGCTAAATGAATTCCAAAAAAGGTTTGAGCATAAATAAAATTTTTTAAACTTATGGTCAGAAAAGACCCTAAATATCTTTTTGCAAAAGAGTGTAAACAAGGAGTACAAACCCAAGAAATGAGCAGAAACATCTTTACCTACATATGAAGTATCTATCTGCCTAAAAATATCCAAGAGCCAACGGAATAAATGGAAAATATTTAGAACTGACAAAATAACTCAATAAGATAGCTAGATATAGGATAAGTAAACTGGAATCACTAGCTTTCCTAAATACCATAACAATTAAAGATAAAATGGGGGATGCCTGGCTGGCTCAGTTGATAAAGCACGTGACTCTTGATCTTGGGGTTGTGAGTTCCAGCCCCACAGAGGGTGTAGAGAGGACATAAAAATAAAATCCTAGGGGATCCCTGGGTTGCTCAGCGGTTGGGTGCCTGCCTTTGGCCCAGGGCGTGGTCCTGGGGTCCCGGGATCGAGTCCCGTGTTGGGCTCCCAGCATGGAGCCTGCTTCTCCCTCTGCCTGTATCTCTGCCTCTCTCTCTCTGTGTCCCTCATGAATAAATAAATAAAATCTTTAAAAACTAAAAAAATAAAAATAAAATAAAATATTTAAAAAAAGATAAAATAGGAGAAAATAAGATGCCATTCATACAGCTAAGACTAGACCTTACAAAAATGTGCAAGGCCCAGATGAACACAATGGAAAGTAAATATGGGAGAAATAGTGTTTCTGAGTCGGAAGAATCAAATTTGTAAACAGTTATGTCCAATTATGTCTAGGAATTCCATAATATCCATGCTCCCACCAAAAAAGTCAATGACATCTGGGCGGCTCAATCCATGCTGCACAGGACTCTTGATCTCAGGATTATGAATTCAAGCCCCACATTGAATGTGGAGCCTACTTTTAATAATAGTAATAATAATAAATAATAATAATAATAGTATTACCTGGAAAAGTAAGTGTGGAAGACTACCCAAATGTTTTGAAGAAGTTTTGAAAAAAAAAAAAAAGATGAATAGGAATTAAACTCTACATTAAAAGGCCAATACTTGGGCAGTCCGGGTGGCTCAGCGGTTTAGTGCTGTCTTCAGCCCAGGGCGATCCTAGAGAGCCGGGATCAAGAGGGATCGAGTCCCATGTCAGGTCCCTGCATGGAGCCTGCTTCTCCCTCTGCCTGTGCCTCTGCCTCTCTCTCTCTCTCTTTCTCTGTCTCTCATAAATAAATTTTTAAAATAATAATAATAAAAATAAAAGGCCAATACTTCAGATTTGTGCTCACTCTTTTGAACAGGGACATTCATCTAAGAGAACAACTGGATACACTGTTAATAGTTAAACAGCTTCTCTCAGAGGTACTGTAGGATGTAAATAAACAGTAAGTGTATTTAGTTTAATGCAGTTAAATTATATTAAATGTTGCTCTTATGCCACATTACACTGAATACTGGATGCACACTTAAAGACATGGTTTTTGTGTGAAATGCAATATGGGATCTGTTTCTACAGTAGAAACATTTGATATGTTTGTTAATTCTAGTCTCAGGCATTGAAATGTAAGCTTTTTAAAAATTAATGGGGAAGTTGTGAGATGCAATATCAATACTTCAGGATTTTGGTCTTGGTGTTTGTATGAAATTCCAAAGCCCTGATTTGAATCGTTCACTGTATTGTGATTTCCTTTTAGGTGTATTGCACTAAATGAAACATCTTCCTTTTAAAAAGTGAAAGAAAAAAAATAGGATAATACAATAAATAAGAAAACAAGCCACCAACAGGGAGAAATAGCTGAAAAGACCTATTTGATAAAGGGCTTAACCAAAGTATACAAAGAACTCTTAAATCTCAAAGATAACAAACAACCCCATTAAAAAATGTGCAAAAGACCAGAAGACACATCTCACAAAGATGTACAGATGGCACACAGGTATACAAAAAGATGTTCTATATCATATGTTGACAGGTAAATGTACATTAAAACACTGAGATACCACTAGAATGACCAAAATCTAGAACACTGAACAAACACCAAATGCTGGTGAGGATGTGGAGCAACAGGAAATCTCATTTATTACAGATAGGAATGCAAAATTGCACAGCCACTTTGAAAGGCAGTTTGGCAGTTTCTTTCTTTCTTTCTCTTTTAAAGATTTTATTTATTTATTCATAAGAGACACACACAGAGAGACAGAGGCAGAGACACAGGCAGAGGGAGAAGCAAGTTCCATGCAGGGAACCTGATGTGGGACTTGATCCCAGGACTCCAGGATCATGCATGCCCTGGGCTGAAGGCAGGCGCTAAACCACTAAGCCACCCAGGGATCCCTTGGCAGTTTCTTATAAAACTACACATACCCTTACCATATGATCCAGCAATCATTCTCCTTGGGATCTTCCCAAATGAGCTGAAAATTTTTATCTATATAAAAACTTGCACACAGAGGTTTGTAATAGCTTTATTCGTAATTGTCAAAACTTGGAGATGTCCTTCAGTAGAGGTGAACGGATAAACTGTGGTACATCCAGAGACTATGGAATGTTATTCAGCACTGAAAAGAATTATACTACCAAACCATGCGAAATGATAGAGGAAACTTAAATGCATGTAACCAAGTCAAAGAAATCAATCTGAAAAAGCTACATACTTCCTGATTCCAATTACATAACAGAATTATGAAGATAGTAAAAAGATTGCCAAGGAGACAGGGATGAACAGCGCAGAGGATTTTCAGGACCATGAAAATATCCTGTATGATTCTATAATAATACGCTGTATGATTCTATAATGATGGATACATGTCATTATACATTTGTAACCCACAGAATGTTGAACACCAAGAGTGAACCCTAATGTAAACTACTGACTTTGGGTGATTGTGATGTGTCAGTATAGGTTTACCAATTTTAACAAAATTACCAGTCTGATGGCAGATGTTGATTATGGGGAAGACTGAATAGCCAAAGCAATCTTAAAAAAGAAAAACAAAGCTGGAGGTATCACAATTCCAGATTTCAAGATATACTACAAAGTTGTAGTGATCCAAACAGTATGGTAGTGGCACAAACTAGACACACAAATCAATGAAACAAAATAGAGTCCAGAAATAAATCCACACTTATCTGATCAATTAATCTGTGACAAAGGAGGCAAGAATATACAATGGGGGAAGAGACATTCAATAAATGGTGCTGGGAAAACTGGACAACTACATGCAGAAGAATGAAACTGGACTACTTTCTTACGTATCAAAAAAAAAAAAAAAAAACCTCAAAATGGATTAAAGACCTAAATATGAGACCTGAAACTATAAAAATTCCTGGAGTGAACACACGCAATAATTTTTCTGACATCAGGCACAGCAATATTTTTCTAGATGTGTCTTCTAAGGCATGGGAAACAAAAGCAAAAATAAACTATTAGGACTACACCAAACTAAAAAGCTTTTGCACAGCAAAGGAAGCCAGCAATAAAACAAAAAGGCAACCTATTAAATGGGAGAAGCTATTTACAAATAATATATCCAATAAGGACTTAATATCTAAAAAATACAAAGAACTTATACAACTCAACACCAAAAAAAGCACACCAAAAAACAATCTGATTTAAAAATGGGCAGAGGGGGGATCCCTGGGTAGCGCAGCGGTTTAGCGCCTGCCTTTGGCCCAGGGCGCGATCCTGGAGACCCGGGATCGAATCCCACGTCGGGCTCCCGGTGCATGGAGCCTGCTTCTCTCTCTGCCTGTGTCTCTGCCTCTTTCTCTCTCTCTGTGTGTGTGTGACTATCATAAATAAATAAAAATTTAAAAAAAAAAATGGGCAGAGGACTTGAATAGACATTTCCCCAAAGACCTACATACAGGTGGCCAACAGACATATGAAAAAATGCTCAGCATCAATCACCATCAGGAAGATGCAAACCAAAACCAAAATGAAGTATCACCTCACACCTGTCAGAATGGCTGAAATAAAAAAGACAAGAAATAGTAAGTGTGGGTGAAGATGCGGAGAAAAAGGAACCCTAGTGCACTGTGGGTGGGAATGTAAATTGGTATGACTGACCACTGTGGAAAACAGGATGGAAGTTCCTCAATTAAAAACAGAATACCATATGATCCAATAATTGCACTACTGGATATTTAGCCAAAGAAAAAAGAAACACCAATTCAAAAAGATACATGCAACTCTATGTTTAATGCAGCATTATTTAAATAGCCATGATATGGAATCAACCTAAGTTTCCATCAATAAACAAATGGATATGGAAGATGCACGTGAGACAAGACAGATATAAATATATATATACATACACACACAGTGAAATATTTTGCAGCCACAAAAAAAGGATCAGATTGTGTCATTTGTAACAACATGGATGAACCTACAGAGAACTATGTTAATAACAAAACTTTACCAAAAAAAGGCAATGGGGGAAGGTTATGCATATATGGAGGTAGGGTGTGTATGGAAACTGTGCTTTCTATTCCATTTTACTATGAACCCAAAACTTGTCTGAAAATAAAGCCAATTAAAAAAAAAAAAAGGACAATACTTATCTCTTATGGGACTAAAATATGCTTGTAACTGACTCACACCCTTCTACAACTAAAACCACTGGGGCTGGAAAAATCTTTTTTTTTTAAGATTTTATTTATTTATTTATTTATTTAGATTTTATTTATTCATAAGAGACACAGAGAGAGGCATAGACACAGGCAGAGGGAGAAGCAGGCTCCATGCAGGGAGCCTGACGTAGGAATCGATCCCGGGACCCCAGGATCACGCCCTGGGCTGAAGGTGGCGCTAAACCGCTGAGCCACCAGGGCTGCCCAAGATTTTATTTATTTATTCATGAGAGACACACAGAGAGATGCAGAGACACAGGCAGTGCGAGAAGCAGACTCCACCTGGGGAGCCTGATGCAGGACTAGATTCCAGGACCCTGGGATCACCAACTGAGCCAAAGGCAAATGCTGAAACACTGAGCCACCCAGGTGCCCCCCCCCCTTTTTTAAAGTAATCTCTACACCTAACATGGGGCTTGAGCTCTCAACACTGAGATCAAGAGTTGCATGCTCTACCAACTTAGCCAGCCAAAACCTGGAAAATCTTTTTTTTTTTTTAAGATTTTATTTACTCATTCATGAGAAACAGAGAGAGAGAGAGGCAGAGACACAGGCAGAGGGAGAAGCAGGCTCCATGCAGGGAGCCCGCCGTGGGACTTCATCCGGGGTCTCCAGGATCACGCCCAGGGCTAAAGGCAGAACTGCTGAGGCACCCGGGCTGCCCTGGAAAATCTTTTTAACACATAAATCCAACCACGTCACCTACACTGCTTAATAATTATCCTTTAGTGCTTTCCCTCTGAACTCAGAATAGAAATCAAAGTCTTTATAGTTACTATTTCTCCTACTGCACAGTGAACTACTTTCTCTGATCTCTCCCTGTTTCTAGAGTATACCCAGCTTTCTCCCTGACTTCAGGACCTTTGCATTTGCTGTCCTTCTCTCTGGAAAGTGCTCTTTAGCTCTCTCTTCAGGGCTTCCCAGAACTGCTTCTAGCTCACCCTTGGGGTCTCAACCTCATGTCATGTTCCTTGAGGGGGAGCTTCCTCAAGGCTTCTCAGATTTGAAAACGTACATGCATAAGAATCGCCTGAAGAGCTTGTTACAACAGATTCCTGGTCCCACTCTCCCTCCTCCCCAGTCTGATTCTGGGTCTAGGATGGGGCCCAAAAATGTGCAATTCTCATGACCTCCCTGGTGATGCTGATGCTGCCCACAGGCGGACCACACTTTTGAGAAACACTTAGGTTAGCAACATGTAATTAACTGATTTGTTTACAAACCATTTTGCTGCAAGTACCTTCCACGAGAAAAGGAAACTCGTTCTGCATCATCCAATACTATGTACCTCGCACTTACAAACTGCCTATGGAAAGAACAATGCTGGTCTCCCTGTGATACCTCTAGAATCTGTAGAACAACTTCCTCAATAGAGAATTTCTCCGATCTCAGCAGGCAACTTTTATTTGCAAAACATGATCTGTGTTTGCACATTCAGGGAGGATTCCTTAGCTTGGGTGCCTCTTTTCCCACTTAACCCTACACACGGACAGTCATCACTTTCATACACACAACTCCTCTCTCCTCCACCACTATTGACAGCTGTAGCTGTGAGATAACCTTAAGGGGGAAATCAGAGCGTGGCCAAGTAAGGCCTTCCTGGTCCTTTCCTGATTTCCTCCCTGAGAGCTAACGTGAGTTTAAACGACTGCAAGGAAGCCCAGCTCACCTGAGGCCAAGTTGTCTGGAGCATGGCTGATGTCCCCTGGCTTCGTGCACTGTCGCCTTGATTTGGAAAAGCAAGAAGAACCTTAGGAGCTGAGAGAAGAGCCATGAGCGCAACAGGCCCTGTCCTGCAACACCGTAAGCCGCCCGCAGCGTCCCCAGTCTCCCATTTCCAGCACGCGGAGGAGGCGCCCCCAGACCCCTCGCCGCCCCCCGCCGCCCCCCGCACCGCCCCCCGCCCCCGCCCAGGCCCAGGCCGACGGGCCCCGACGACCTCAGGAACGGCTGCGCGCGGCCCTGCTCAGGCCCGCACGCGCCCGAGCGCATCCACACGGAGCGCACCGACGGATCCTAGCCCTGCAGGGCTGAGTCCCCACAAACCTAAAAGCGCGCTTACGGGAACCATGACGCTGACCCCACACGGAGCCAATGGAGAAGGACGCAGAGGTGCCGGGCTGCGCGTTAACGGCGAAATACTCGGTGTCCGGCGGGCGACGCTGACCGGAGGCCCGCCCGGGACCTCCCCCAGGAGAACGGAGCCCCGCGCCTCGGCGGGCGGGGGGCCGCACCGGGGCTCCGCGAGGGAGGCCGCGCAACCACCGCGGGCGGCTTCGGCGCGGCCACACGCCGACCTCCGACACTGGGCCCGGCGAGGAGGGACGCCGCGGGCCTCGGCGTCCAGCGAGCTGGGACTCACGCCGTCCCTCACCCAGCGCCGAAAAGCCGCCAGGGGCGCCGCGACGCGGAAGGGAGCGCGAGCGCCCGGCGCCCCTCTAGGCCGCGGAGGCAGCGCCTCTCGGTGGTCCCGGCGGCCCGGCCCACGTGACCGGCCCGCCGCGCGCGCTCATTGGCTGCTGGCTCCCCCCGCCGCCGCCGTCGCTGCCTCCTGGGGACCCTCTGGACCGCCTGTACTGCGCGGTCGCCCGGGCTGCGCTGCTGTGCGGAGGACGGTGCCGGCGTGCCGCCGCCCCGAGGCCCAAGCCAAGCACCCTCCGTGGGTCGCAAGCTGGGCCCCCCTTAGGAAAACTGAGGCTTCCGTCCGGCCGTTCAAAGCCCTCTCCCCTCCGAGGACCCGCACGTGTGGGCGTGTCTTGGGACAGCCTCACTTGGCTACCGGAATACTGGTGACCAAGCTGCCAGGCATCCCGTGTACACTGGACATGTCCTTTATTAGATGATTTTGTTCTGTATCGATCTATAGGTCCTCTGTTTAGCTTTTCCCAAGAAATTTACCAACAAATCTGCAGTTTAGAGCTATTTTCCCACCCAGTAACTGGCATTTAGGTAATTAAAAAAAAAAAAGAACCTTCCATGAAGATCTGGATAATCCGTTAACAGTCTCTCCTGCAATTTGGCTGAGTGAAGTTTAAGAAAACAAACAGATTAAAATTACGTTCTTTAGAGTCAAGTAATTGCCGCTAATTTGCATAACTTTGGGTCAGTACAGCCTCGCTTCGGTGGCCATTCGCTTGGGAAAGGCAGCAGATCGACGGCAGCCCAAGCTTCTGAACATGAGCCAATCAGTGACAGATACCCCTGAAAGTTAGCCAATCAGTGCCCTTCACAGAGCGACCGAGCTTTTGAAAATCCCTGGGTAGTCTGGTTCCAATGACCACGGTTTGCCAGTGTGGTTGCCAACGTGAACAGACTTTACTTTGATTGCTTCTATTGAACACATTTTCAGATAGACGCCTCCTACTCACCAGGCGCTTCGGTGCTATGGAGGAGAATTGGCCTCCCACTGCTGAAAGCGCGATCCTTGATATCTGGACGTGGGTTCTATCATAGGAGTTTTACTCCTTTTGTTACCAAAAACCCCTTTGGCTGCCTGTTACCTGAAAGATCATCACTCAAGAGAGTTGTTTGTAAAGGAATCTGAGCTTTATTCGGGAGGCTGGCAACCTAGGGAGAAGTTGGACTTTTGTCCAAAAGCCCACTCGGATATTTCTGCCTGGCCCAGGAGGGTTTTAAGAAGTCTAGGGTAGCTAATGGGCAAAGGGAGTGCAGTGGCCTGCAACATTTCTTTAATCACGTGCAGACTAGATGCCAGCTACGTTTTCATTGCTCAGGGGTTGTGCTTGGGGGCTTTGGTTCTTGTTTCCTGAGGTGCCTGAGTACTCTTCTTTCTGCAAAGGAGGGCAAGGTCTACAGATAGACAAAGGGAGGTTAGTAAAATCATTTATGTGACCTAAGAAAAGAAAAATATTTTGTTTAAAATGTTGGACTAATCAAAAATCTGAGGTGGCTTCAAACACACTTGCTGGACTTTGGGGCCTGGGAAGTTTCTGTTTCTTCACTTCTCAAGGCCAAGGGCCTACAAATCTCAAAGAAAGTAAATCAGTTCTGTTACAGACCAAAGGCCTTATGTCAGCAAATAAGGAGTGTTAAGTTGAAGCGAATTAACTCTTAAGACCTGCTAGAGTGCTGTTACATTTCCAAGGGAATTAAAACTGTTACTGACAAACTATAGCTTAAAGTCCTCCCACGAAGAGTACAGTAGGTATCTCCTGCTGCATAATCACCCCAAAACTGTGTGGTTGAAAACAATATACACTTACTATTTCTTAAAGTTTCTATAAACCAGTAACTCACAAGTGGTTTGGCTGTAAGACAGCAGTTTGGGATCTCTCATGAAATTCCATTCAGGTGTAACCTGGGGCTGCAATCATCTGAAAGCTTGACTAAGCCTAGAGCACCTAGATAACTCACTTCCATGACGGGCAAATTGGTACTGGTTATTGGTGTGAAGCTGCGGTCCCTCCCCACACAGGTTTCTGCACACAGCTGAGTCCTCAACAACATGACTACAGGATTCAAACTAAGGTAAGCAATCCAAAAGGCCAAGGCCAAGGGCGCCTGGCTGGCTCAGTTGGTGGAACATATGACTCTTGTTGATCTCAGGGTCATATTGGGTGTAGAGTTAACTTAAAAAATCAAAATTTTTAGGGATCCCTGGGTGGCGCAGCGGTTTGGCGCCTGCCTTTGGCCCAGGGCGCGATCCTGGAGACCCGGGATCGAATCCCACGTCGGGCTCCCGGTGCATGGAGCCTGCTTCTCCCTCTGCCTGTGTCTCTGCCTCTCTCTCTCTCACTGTGTGCCTATCATAAATAAATGAAAATTTAAAAAAAAAAAAAAAAATCAAAATTTTTAAAAATAAAAATAAAAAAAAAAGGCCAAGGCCAACTACAGTGTTATAATCTAGCTTTGGAAGTCATGCACCATCAATCAATATACTACCAACACAGGCCAGTCATAATACAGTGTTAGATAAGATACACAAGGGCATGAATGCAAGGATCAGAATCACTGGGGACAATATGGAGACTGCCTAACACTGAGATTTTGCCTATCACAGAAACTGTGTATTTTATAAATTCCCAGTATTTTTATTGTAAAGCTGATGTACAATTGTTTTAAATAAATGAATTAGACTTCCAGGAACAATAACATGATAAGGACTTATATTTTCATACTGCCCCTTCTCTAAACCTATCAAAATGAACATCTACCACCAATCTAGAGACATGACCACACACATGTGTGCACATACATATACACATAAACATCACAACTTCTTTAAAAATATTAGCCAGTTATCACAAACAGGTTTAACTTGAAGGGGGATAACACTGGACATGGAACTCCTCTATCTTGTATTATAGTACAGGGAGAACAAGTGAGGAAGTTTTGGTAGACTCAAAAATCCCCAAGTTGTGAAAATGAGAATTAGAATCATGGGCAGTCAGAGGACAAAAACGGGACAAAAATGCAACAAGAGTTCCATTCTTTCCCAGAGCAGCCTCACCAGAGGGACAGAATACAGGCAGTGCTGACCTACAGGCAAGTGAACCAGGGGATGGGAAACAGTGGTCAGGAAGTCTGCTCATGTATCAGCAAAATTAAAAGTCTAGAGCTGGATATCCCTCACCTGGCCAGTGCTCTCCCTAGAAACACACTATCCCCAGCCACTAGCCAGTGCAACAGGCAAGAAAAAAAATCCAGAATTGGAAGTAAAATGGTTATTTATAAACATGCTTCTCAATGTTAGCCCTAAAAAATTTAGACTGAATGAGTTGTGCAAGATTGCAGGATACAAGGTCAAAATACAAAAATCAATTACATTTCTCTATACCATCAATAAACACTTAGAAATTTACTATTATAACAGAATCAAAAAATGATAGACAAATCTGAGAAAAGGTATGAAAGATTTATACAGTAAAAATGATAAAACAATGCTGAAATAAAAATCCAAATAAATGGATTTACCATGATTTTGAGTCAAAAGACTGTATAGTTTTGTTTTTTTTTTTAAAGATTTTATTTATTCATGAGAGACACAGAGAGAGAGGTAGAGACACAGGCAGAGGGAGAAGCAGACTCCATGCAGGGTGCCCAGTGTGGGACTCGATCCCATGTCTCCAGGATCACACCCTGGGCTGAAGGCAGCGCCAAACCACTGAGCCACCTGGGCTGCCCAAAAGGACTGTAAAGTTAAGAAAGATGTGAATTCTCCCCAAAATTGATCTAAAGAGTCCATACAATCTCAATCAGGATATGTTTTGTAGAAGTTTGCAAACTGATTCTAAAATTCATATGAGGGGCAGCCCCAGTGGCCCAGTGGTTTAGTGCTGCCTTCAGCCTAGGGTGTGGGATCCCGGAGACCAGGGATTGAATCCAACGTCAGGCTCCCTGCATGGAACCTGCTTCTCCCTCTGCCTCCCTCCCTCTCTCTCTCTCTCTCTGTATTTCTCATGAATAAATAAATAAAATCTTTTAAAAATAAAACAAAATTCATATGAAATGCAAAGGGCCTCGAAATGCAAAGGCCAAAACTCTGGCAAAACACAAAATAGAAAAACTAATGCTGTGTGACCTCAACACTTAGAAAAACTACAGATTAAGGCAACGGCGTCAAGATGGACACAGACCAATGGACAAATAGAATCCAGAAGTAGACCCAAACCTATACAGGCAACTGATCTGCAACAGTGGTACAAAGGCAATTCAGTGGAGGAGTCATTTTCAAAAATAGGATACCCACCTAAAAAAGCAGGAAGAAATGTAGATCCATACCTCATACCCTATACAAAACTTAACACAAAATAGATGATAGAACATAACATCTAAAATTATAAAACTTCTGGGAAATAGGAGGGGAAAATCTTTGTAAACTTGGGTAAGACAAATATTTCTTAAATATGACACACTAAAAGCATAATCCATAAATGAACAACCTGATATACTGGACTTCATTAATATTAAAGTCTTCTGCTTGCTCTTCAAACACTAAAAGAATGAGGAATGCCTCGATGGCTCAGTTGGCTAACCATCTGCCTTTGGCTTGGGTCATGATCTCAAAGTCCTGGGATTGAGCCCCACATTGGACTCTGTTCAGTGGAGAGTCTGCTTATCCCTCTCCCTCCCTCTGTCCCTATCCCCCCCACCCCCCTCCCCTGCTCATGCTCAAGCACTCTCAAATAAATCTTAAAAAAAAAAAAAATCAAGAGAATGAAAAGACAAGCCACATGCTGGGAGAGAATGTTTAGAAACCATACATCCAGAAACACCTGGGTGGCTCAGCAGTTGAGCGTCTGCCTTTGGCTCAGGTCGTGATCCTGGAGTCCTAGGATCAAATCCCACATCAGGCTCCCGGCAGGGAGCCGGCTTTTCCCATTGCCTATGTCTCTTCCTGTGTTTCTCATGAATAAATAAATAAAATATTTTAAAAAATAAATCACACATCTGAAAAAGGACTTGTATCCACAATATATAAAGAGC